GTGAGGAAAGTCCGAGAAGCCCCCTAGGCGCGACGCCCTCACCTCCGGCTCTGTGGATGGCGGAACCCTTTGAAGAGGCCATGTTTTGACTTCACGGAGAAGACCGTCTGCGCCAAAAGGAAGGGTTGTATTCCGCACGCGCACATAATGAGGGGCAAGACCTTATCGAAGCAATGATTGCCGGGAAGTAAAAGGCAGGGGGCTAAGCTTTCGGACGGGTGCGAAACTGGCTTTTATTGTTGTTGATCGTCCTGAAGTCCTGGGGAACCGTGTGGTCAACACCCTCTCCCCCCCAGCCCCCAGCCAAAAAAAGCAAATGAAACTATGTGTATCACAAGACTGCACCTAAATTAAGACCATCCACGGCCCGTTCTCATTCAAGATTGCATTTTTGCATAAAACTAAGATTCCCATTGTCTGCATATTCGTAGTTTAATAGCCCTTAGAGGGTTTTCCCAATTGCTAGTAACCATAAGCCTGGTGTCATCGTGGTTTAAACACCAGCCTAGTGGAAGTCTCCTTTTAACGTTGGTGGCTGAGATGGCAGGGTGGCACGGAGAGTTTGTGCGAATTGGGAGAAACTTGTCACCAGAAAGACTAGGAATTCTTCATATGAAAACAGCTTTAGGGAGTCCAGACACTAGAAATGATAGGTTCTTGACAACTAACTGCATCTCTACTAAACAAAACTCAAACCCAATCGCTCTGCAGTCAAGTGCTTTGCAACCCTATTGGGCAGGGTTAATTACCAATCTTTTGGGGAGCCTAAAGCTTCGGTTTTCCTCCTGGGTGGATGGTGGGTTCGAACCACCGACCTTGTGTATTAGTTCCATACATAACTTTATTCATCATCAAGGCTCCATCTATAGGTAGAAACGACACTGAGCAAAGATCTTGGAGAGGCTGAGGTAGCGCTAAGGCACTCAGCAGGTAGTACATAATACTAACATTCTGAATTATTTTCAGCTACAAGGTTTGAAATCAAGGAATTTCTTTTTGTTAAGCCACTCTGTTTACCAAGGGCTACTGGGGATTAAATTAAGAGATTTTGTTATATTCAAGCATAATTCATACGAAAAAGTCATTCACCCCTCTGAATTTATTGCTTCCCCCACCATTTTAAATAGCCGACTTCAATGATGAATTACTTGTTTAGCTGCCGGGATTCCATGTTATCTGTAACTGACCATTGTTCTAAGTAGGAAAAATGAAAGGAGTGGGTGGGGAAGGGTGAGGTTCTGATTAGAAAGTGGTCTTTGTTTCTTTTTGCAAAATAAATTTGTTCTTACAGTGACTGTATTGGATTTGTAGTTTTAAAGTGGAAAAAAAAATCTCTGTGAATAAAAAAAACTGTTAGCATATTGGCATTGGTTATTTGATGCGGAAACAGCCGTAGATCTCTACAAATATTGACTGAACTCCTCGCAACAATCTCTGCAAGAAAAGATGGCAATGAAGTCACGTTACCAATAGAAAAATCACCATTTGTGCATTCTTCCTATGTAGCTATTATATGAGAGCTCAAATTCTGGGTACTAGCCCTAAATTCATTTTGAGACTCCTAGAAGTTCAGTCTCCTTTTGAGTTCTTTCCTCCCAGTCACATGACAAGCTTTGCCCTCAGAATATTTAAAAGTGCATTACTACCACTTTCCTTGCCACTCCAGGGAGGGCAGCCTCCCTAATAATCCTCTGCCTCATCAACCTGCCTGAATGTGCCCTTGGTGAAATTTGGGATATTTGGGTCCTTTAGTCAGGAATCATGCACTGATTACCTTGATCAGATGGCACTGTGCCAATCTTGTAGACTTTTCTAATCCACAGTGGTCCCTTTCCCATTCTGTAATCCCACATGGGATTGCAATGAAGTTATTTGCTGACAGTTTCCTTTGTTCTTTGTGTCCAATTTCAGTGACCTCAAGGTTGTGAATCCTTGGGCATCATTATGTCTTCATGCTGTTAGTCTCCCTCAATGGGATAATTTGTTTTTGACATTGCCCAATTTAGGACTTAATAAATGAGTCTCTATAAAATACATTTGATTATGGGGTCTCTTTTCCCCCTAGAACATTGTATGGTTAAGCAGGACCAATTTTGTAGTAATTGGATTGTAAACTATGAAATTACCACAAATACAAAGCCAAGATTTTAATTGAGCTGCTAACTGTGAGGCCAGCAGTTTGGAACCATGAGGTTTTCTACTCCTATAAAGAGTTAGAGCCTTGGAAACCCACAGGAGCAGTTTTACACTGTCCTGCAGGGTTGCTGTGAGTCAGAAACAGCTTGATGGCAGTGAGTTTTGAGGTTTCTTCCTTCACCAAGGTGCGCTGGTGGCATAGAGGATTATATGCCTAAGACTGTTGTGTTAGTCCGGATAGACTAGAGAAACAAATTCATGGGCATACACACATAAGAAAGAGGTTTATATTCAAGAGCAGTTGAATATTGAGAAAACATCCCAGCCCAGTCCAGATCAAGTCCATAAGTCCGATATTAGCCCATGTGTCCGATATCAATCTATGAAGTCTTCTTCAGACTCACCAAACACATGCATGACGCTGAATGCAGGAAGATCACAGGCCAGTGTGTGCGAAGTCAGTGGTGGTAGAAAATAGAAAAAATTGTTATGAAGAAAATAACGCTTAGGGGAGATCGAGGCAATACCGTACACATAATTCTCCCATTTTATTTCAGAGCATCGTGGGCCACCAAAAATTACCTCGGGGCAGCATGCAGCCCACAGGCTGCCAGTTTGACACCCGTGCTCTATTTAAATAGCTAAATTTAAAGATTCTCACTAAAAACTATATGTATATCTAAAACCTTTTAAATTGTGATTTAGTTGAAGGTTTACAGAGAGATCATAAATTCAACAATTTAAACACATTTCGGCTCTCCCATTGCAGTCCCCTCAGAAGATCATCACTGACTCCGCTTCCTGCTAGTGGTCCCTGCTTCCCCTATTCCTTCTTTCCTTAGCCTCTCTCTGTGGGTCAGTGCTGCCCTTTTGATTGTAAAGGGTTGACTCTTCTAACACTGAGGAGCCCTGGTAGCGTACTGGTTACACGTTGGGCTGCTAACCACAAGGTCAGCAGTTGGAAGACATCAGCTGCTCCCCTGGAGAAAGATGAGACTTTCTACTCTGGTAAAGAATTACAGTCTTGGAGTGCTATTACAGGGGCAGTTCTATCCTGTCCTACAGGGTCTTTGCATCGGAATGGACTCAATAGCAGCACGTTTGTTTTCGTGGCTTATTTTCTAGGCCTGAAGGGTGATTAAGGGCCAACGTCTTAGGGACCCAGCATTCTCTACTTAACCAATAAGTCTGATTACTTTTATGATTTTGAGTTCTGGTCCACAGTTTCATCCACTCTATCCAGGAGCTTCTGATGGGACTCTTGTCGCAGGAGTTGAGAGTGGTAGTCAGGCACCATCTAGTTTCTTGGTCTCAGGGTTGTGGAGACTGATGTGTACATAGTCCATCAGTTCATTGGACTAATTTGTTTCCATGTGACTTTACATTTTCATCACTCTTCTTACTTCCGGGCAGGGCGAGGCCAATCTTAAAGTTGCTGAATATGTCCAGAGTCTTGGTATCAAAATAATTTGAAATCCTTGCTTTGGAGTACAAATATGTAAAGCTCAGTTGCAATATGATTTTCTTCAAT